GATATCCAAGATACTAGACAAGATTGGCTGGAAAAAAGCCACGCGATCGTAATTTATAGCGTTCGTTAGAGGAAAAAGCTCGGCTCGCCGGAGTACAACGCGTTATTAATACGTTTTAAAGAAATGTCCAAGATTAATTTGCGAAACGAGTCGCTATTGAAGTTCTTGCCCGCGGTCTCATTAATCTTATCCAGCGGCGGGCTAGGAGAGAGGGGAAAAAATTATTTTGTAGAATGTTCGCTGTAATAACAGGGAATTCTGTCGCCGGCACGCCTAGCGGGGAGGAAGAACACCGTCCCACTATTAATTCATGTCTCAAGTTTTCAAGTAAGAAATTAATGTCTCCATACGTGATTCGTGGCTCCGTGGAGCCGGACCCCGTTCCTTTCTCCTTCCAAGGGTGGTTCGCTGGCGAAAACTTCGGCCACGAAATGAAATTAATAAACCACGATTACGTTAGAACCACAGACTTCTTACAGAGTTGAAAGCTTTCTTGTTCGTTTGATCCTTGAAGCATCGTAGCTTGATGACCCAATGAACGCAATTTCACTTCACATGCTTTTCCTTTCATATTCCTCTCATATTTATTTCTTTTTTTCTTATCCTGCAACGTTTAATCTGATTTTTATAACGGTATCAATATTTTTCTTTATTAGAGCAATTTATTTTATGCGACGTGAAATGTTAGGTTATGCGGAAAGTTTCTTTCGTTTCATAAGCAAATAATCGACGCACAACATTTTCCGTTTTATATTATCTTATCCAATTACGTATGATCCATTTTCTTCTATCAAGATAAAGATCACAACGTTTGACAAATTAGGTTTCATGTTTGTATAAAGATGCACCGTTGTGAAAGACGTGTCTGTACAAGAAAGACACTTTTCGGACAACCTAATACTTTCCAAATATTGGTTTAACACTCTGACTGCCACGCTAAAATCACATGTTTCACTCAGCACGCCACGCTGAGTATTTCTATTATTCAAAGCATACAATGGCAAAACAATAATAAATTGATGACGTAAGACAACACACTTCCCCACTGTACCGTTTATCTTATTGGTGGTCACGGGTGACCACCGTGGCGCCTTGGTAACAGTTGATAGCGGCCTATTATAACA